TGGAGCAGGAGTTTAGTCTGTCTTGCTGCATTAAGTCAGACTCCAACACTGCTGCCCTCTGTCACCAGTCCTCATAACCTTTATGGACAGCATTTCTAGGCGTAGCCAAGGGCCGGAGGGGCATCCGGCGTATTTCGTCCCTGCTTTATCTGGATGACGTGGTTCTGCTGGCTCCATCCTGCCAAGATCTACCCAGCATGCACTGAGGATGAGAATCAGCTCCTCCAAGTTTGAGGCGATGGTTCTCGATCAGAAAAAAGTGACCTGTCCCCTACATGTTGGGGGAGAGTTAAGGCCAATTTATGCTTCTGACGCATAGCCTCTGACACCGTCAAATCTGTCTCTGTTGCACGACCACGCCCCCCCCCCTCGCAGAGGCTCTGCAACCGTCGTCGCACACCTAAAAAAAAATGCTGACTACGCATCGGATGTTTACAAACCTGCGCAGACCTCAAGCGGAAGTGCGCAGACAAAAAAGCAGCTGTGATTGGTCCTTGGTATGCCTTTCCAGCTATCTGTGTGGTCGTACTTCTCGATTCGGTGCCGGGACGTGCCATTTTACTACGATGAAAGGTTAATCGAGGAGGTTCGCTTCATTAACAGAACCTGTTCCTCTTCGATGTCTAGCAACTCTAGATCCATCTCCTTGACCGTGATCTCTTGCAGACGCGCCATTGTTGTTTTGGAAGATAAGCACTCCTGCCTGCAACACCGAAGTTCTTGTGACCATCCGCCAAAGTTTTCTCGAGTTCTCGAATAGGCCCCCCTTTCGTTTTGGCAGGAAACTGCTGTGAGTCTCTAGAAATTCCAGACTGACAGTGCAGAAGCATACCAGCAAAACTGGTTCACGACCAGACCGAAGCCACATCTGATGTGTGCTGTGCAGAAGTATAATCTGCCCTCTACTACCTCTAGTGGAGGAGTTCAAGTATCTTGGGGTCCTGTTCACCAGTGAGGGAAGAATGGAGCATCAATGTATGGATCGATTACAGACGGTGCTGCTATAATGCTGACGCTGCTCTGGTCTGTCGTGGTGAAGAGAAAACTGAGCGAAAAGGCAAAGCTCTCGATTTGCCGCTCACTCTACCATCATCTATGGTCATGGACTCTGGATCATAAATGAAAGATCCAGATCCTGGAAATTAGTGTCTGAAATTAGCTTTTCTTCGCAGGGTGGCTGGGCTCTCCCTCAGAGATGGGATGAGGAGCTCGGTCATTCAGTAGACGCTCAGATTAGAGCCGCTTCTCCTCATCGACAAGAGTCAGCTGAGGTGGATCAGACATATTTTTCAGATCCCCCCTGGATGCCTCCCATCAGGAGGTGTTCCAGGAATGTCACATGGGGGGGAGGCCCAGAGGATGACCCAGGACACACTAGAGTCCCTATGTCTCTCTGCTGGCCTGGGAGCCTCTCAGGCTTCCCCCAGCAGAGCTGGAGGAGGTGTCTGGGGAGAGAGAACTCTGGGCGTCTCTGTTGAGACTGCCGCCCCATGACCCAGACCCGGATAAAGCAGGAGAAGATGAGTGTCGTCTCCCCATCTCTGAGGATGACTACTGTATTAAATGTCAGTCTTTGTGGCAAATGTAAATCTACAGCAGTGCTGCTGGACTGAA